AAGCAGAATAAGTTCATGTGGTTTTTTGGTTGGTTGGTTTTTACAGTGATGAGAAAGAACAGGATCAAAAAGAAAAATTGGTATTAACAGAAGACTGTGAACTTATCACAATAATTGATGTAATTCCTGGCAAATTTGAAATCACTACTCAACACATATACTTCTACGATGGCAGCATTGAAAAAGAAGATGGTAAGGAGTTCTAGAAAAATAACTTTTGTGTGGTAATTAAGTATTCAGCTTAATAAATCATGAATGAGAAGAAAGCAGTAAGACAGAATGGTAAAGTTACACTCTATCACATAAAATGAAAAATGGAAGGTCAGTCTGAGGTTAAATTTATTTATCAATATATTGAAGGAGAGTCTTTTCATTGTTTATTATTAATGTATTTTTAAAATATAAAAGATAGTGTTTGTAAATAGGATATCATGTCTGCATCTTGTACAGCAAATAACCACTAGGAAGAGAGTATGCAATGTGTTAATTATTGAAACTATCCTACCAATTTGATTTGAAATTGTCTCATTGCTATTTTTTCTCAGTAAAATTATGGGGAAAAAAAAAGAAATGCCTCACTCCAAAAAATAAATAAATAAAATATAAAAGATAGTGTTCATTTTATTATACCTTTGTATATAAGCCTGTAGGCTTCTTTCTTAATACCTTATGTGGCAATAAAAGGCTGATTAACCTGGATGTGGAGGGGCCTTCCCCAAATCCCAGCACTCTGAGAAGTTGAGGCAGGAAGATTGCTAGTTGGATTCCATTCTGGGCAATTTAGAGACTTAGCCAGAGTGAGTGAATGAGTGAGTGAATGAGTCAGTCTGTCTGTCTGTCTGTCTGTCTGTCTGTCTCTCTGTCTCTCTCTGTCTCTCTCTCTCTCTCTCTTTCTCTCTCCCCCCTTCCTCCCCCTCTCTCCCTCCCCATTTGTCTGTCTCTTTCTCTCCCTCCCACCCTTCCTCTCTCCCCCTCTTTCTCTCTGTTTTTAGTAGTGTACTGGGTATGAATGTAGGGACTTTATTCTGAACTACAATCTCCTTAATTTTTAATTATTTTGAGATATTGTCTCACTAAATTACTGAGTTGCCTGGTCTCAATTTGTAATCCTCTTGCTTCAGCCTCTCAGATTTCTGAGATTACAGATTTGTACTACCATGCCTGACTTCAAAGTAATTTTATCAAAAATTTTAAGGGCCGCCTTTAGTGTTAGAGCAGTTGCCTAGCTCAAGGTTTTTTTTTTTTTTTTTTTTTTTGCGGAACCGTGGATTGAACTCAGGCCTTTGCGCTTGCCAGGCAAGCACTTACTCTACTGAGCCATCTCTTCAGCCTACCCAGCTCAAGATTAACTCCCCAGTACAACAACAACAACAAAAGCCTGATTAAAATGCCAACATAGACCTATTTCCAAGATACAGTGTTCAGAATTATTCTCTATTCTTTTTTTTTAATATTTATTTTTATTTATTACATTTATTTATTGTGTGTGTGTGTGGCCAGCTCAGCCCACCAGGGGGCGGGTCTGGCTGGCATGTGGTGCTGGGGATCGAACCACGGTCCCTGTGCTTTGCCAAGCTTGTTTCAAGTAGGTGCTTTAGACCACTGAGCCATCTCTCCAGCCCCTATTCTCTATTCTTATAAAGAAACAGAGGGGCTGAGGAGATAGCTTAGCAGTGTAAGCAGGCTACTGCATGCCATGCCAGCCCTGGAACCCTGGATGCACTGTGCTGGCCACTGAAACTGGGCGTGGTAGAGCATGTCTGTAATCCTAGTGCTGGGGAAGCTGAGACAGGAGAATCACTGACTGTGAGCTATATAGCGAGATCCTGTATCAAATTTAAAAACAAACAAAAAACAGGAAGCAGAATGGTTGTCGAATTTTGAAATAGTTTTAAAAGAAACAGTTTAAACATCCACTAGATATGACAAATAGCTTTTATAATAGAGAATCCCTTTCACTAAGTTATAGTTTTATCAAGGCAATATTTGCTGCAAATCCTGGGTAACTATATATAATACCTCAGCCACAAGATTTCTTCTGTTTTCAGGAGTAGGCTTTGATTTCAAGTGGCCTCATTCTCAAATTCGAGAGATTCACTTACGGCGTTACAACTTAAGGAGATCAGCCCTTGAAATTTTTCATGTTGACCAGTCCAACTACTTTCTCAACTTCAAAAAAGAGGTATGCTGCCTTTCTGGAAATTCCAAAGTATTAGCTAGAGATAACTTTTCAGCTAGTGAGCACTGATGGAACTTTGAGCTATCCACTTATCAAGACAAAATCTTAAGAGGAAAATACATGCCTTGGAAACTAATCAGTACAATACATGAATTTTTAGTGAGGTATGTATTGCACTGATAGCAGGGTAATAGTTTACATTTCCTATGTATGTGCATTGATGTGTGTGTATATATGTATATGTAAACATAGTCTTATAATATTGCTATAAATAGATGCCTCACAGTTATCCACTGATGATGTAGCATGTAATACCTAAGATTATGATTGAATTTATTAAATTAGATTGGCTTCAAATTCAACAATAATAGGGCATTAGAAATTCTTAAGTAGTGTAAGTGGTTAAGCACACAGGCTCTGAAATGAGATTACCTAGGTTCAAGCACTGTCTCTGCCACTAGTTGTGTATCTGGGACCTGTTCCTCAGGATACTTGGTCTGAACCTACCTTCTCTCTCATTCACACTTTGATTCACATTCAGAAGGTCGGATGGGCTTGGGAGATAGCTAAGTGGTCTAAGTGCCTGCCTGGCAAGTGCAAGGACCCAGGTTAAATCCTTGAGCATGCTGCACAGGCCACTGGGCATAGTGGTACATGCCTATAATCCCAGCAGTGGTGAGAGTGAGACAGGAGGATCACTACAAGTCTGATTAGCAAGACCCTGTACCAAATAAATAAATAGTTTTTTTTTAAAGTTAGACAGGTTTCACACTCTGGCAGCCTTTCCTACCTTCTTAGCCTCTGCTGTTTTCTCTTACACATCTGTCCTAATCATGAGGTCCCCCACCCTCATGATTGTATCTATTCCTGACTACCTTTCAGATTCATACACCCAGCTTTTAGTATAGGAAATTGGGGATTAAATTTCCAATACATGAACTTTTAAGAAACATATTCAATCCACTGTAGAAAAATTAAAATCACTATTATCTATTTACCTGAAATGATAACTAAATCCCTAGAGACAGAAAACAAATTAGCAGAGATTAGGGAATATAAAGGAGGCTAAATTGGGGACAACATGCATTGGTAATGGATTAGTTGTGTAACTCTGAATATACTAAATTGCAACTTAAATATATACTTTAAAAGGATAACTGAAGAAAAAAAAAGGATAACTGAAGGGCTGGCAAGATAGGCAAGCACAGGGACCAGGGCTCAATCCCTGGAATACCACATGGGGGCTAGGGAGATGGCTCAGTAGAATAAGTGCTTCCCTGGCAAGCGCAAGGATCTGAGTTCAATCCCTGGTTCTGCAAAAAAACACCTGGAATACCACATGCTATGCCAGCCTCACCCCCAGGCGTGCTGAGCCAATTCTGAGACCAGGCAGGCATGGTGGCGCACACTTGTAATCCCGGCTCTGGGGAGGCTGAAAACAGGAGGATCACTGCAAGTCCAAGCTGTGTGGTAAGACCCTGTACCAAATACATTAAAAAAAAAATGACTTATATCTCACTACACCTGTTCTTGAGACCATAATCTAAATTTGTCTTGACTGATTTTAATGCTGTATTTTTTAGGTTAGAAATAAAGTATATAGCCGACTACTATCATTTAATTCTCCAAATAGTTATGGAACAAGATCACCACAGGAGTTATTTAGAGCATCAGGATTGACACAGGTAGGACAAGTCATTGTTTTGGTGCTCTTACAACAGAGGCAGTTTAAGACAGGGTCTCCTGTATATTTCAAATGTTCGCTTAAAAGTAAAACTTGCATTTTCTGATTACTTTCTTGTAATTATTACTACTGTCTTTCAATTCAAACTTTTAATGGCCAATTAAATCTTATTTTCTTCACAAACACAATACCTTCCCCTCTCCCATATCACTCCCGTTGGAATATGGGATTTTCTTTTGAAAACACACAGCCCAGCTGTGGCATGTGCCTGTAATCTCAGCACTTAGGAGGGTAAGGCAGAAGGCTTGCTGTGAGTTCAAGGACAGCCTGAGCTATATAGTAAGATCCTATATTGGGGAAAGGGAAATGAGGGAGGGACAAAAGTGGGCTGGGCATAATGGTGCATACATCTGCCTCTGAGCTACCTGAAACGCTGAGGCAAAAGGATCACTTAAACCCACAAATTTAAGACTAGCCTGGGTAACATAGCAAGACTCTGTCTCTAAAGTAATGGGAGTTTTTTCCTAAACAATAAAATCAATCATTCATGAAACAAAAGTCAACAATAAAATTGTTGACTACTGCTCTAATTTCTCTTTTCATATGCTCTCTAGAAATGGGTGAACAGAGAGATATCAAATTTTGATTATCTCATTCAAATAAATACAATGGCAGGACGAACTTACAATGACCTTGCACAATATCCTGTGGTAAGTTTTGTATTTAGTTTTATGATGTGCAAAAGTATATTTATGATGCTTACATTTCATTTTAAGTTCATTTAAAGTTTAGAGCCTGGGATATAGTACATGAATGAGTGCTTACCTAACATGTGAGGCCCAGGGCTTAATTCACAGCACCACAAAAATAAATAAATATATACCTGCCCACACACACTTCTTGCCATTATATACATTTTGTCTTCTGGTGTTTTCAAGAGGTATAATTCATGAAGAAGAATAATAAAGTTTTTCCTCTTCATTGAAAATACTCCAGTGGAATTATAGGAAAAATTAGTGTTGAACTAAGGATGAATAAATATTTAAGATATTTATGTAAAATATATACAGTATGGAAAAATACTTTTAGAGAATATTCCTTTCTTTAAGCATTTTATATTAAATATTGGGATATTAGGAATGTCTAAATTGTAAACTGTGGCTCTCCTAGTTTCCCTGGATTTTACAAGATTATACCTCAGGAGAATTGGACCTTAATAATCCCACTGTATTTCGAGATCTCTCCAAACCAATTGGGGTAGTTAATGATAAAAATGCCAAAATCATGCGAGAAAAGTAAGTGCTTTTTAACTTTTATACCATACCCATTGTCAGTTCAAATTTCTATTGAGTTTTGCTATGGCAAACCAAATGTTTCCTTTTTTTTAAAATGAACAACTGCTTTTGTTAGCCAGATTCTGATAATTGCTTCACTAAATTTTCATAAAACATTGATTATTAAAATAGCTTCAGTTCTGTTGATATTCTGTCTTCACCACACTAAAATTGATGTTTCTCAGAATTTCTTTGCACTTTGTAATAAGTATATGCTAAAGCTAATTCTGGAAAACTTTTCACCCGGTTATTGTAAACTATATAACCTAAATGTGTGTAAGTATTCATATGATGTAAAAATATTTTGAATGATTTAAAATTAATAATACTAATCTATTATTTAACAATGATATGAACAAAATATAATGAATATAATATAATGAATTGGACATAATCCCAACTACTTAGGAGGCTGAAGCCAGAAGATCATAAATTTGAGGCCACCCTGGACAATTCCGCAAGATACTGTTTAAAGGATAAAAATGAAAATGTTTAAAGCATTTGGAGGCATAGCTCAGCACTCCCTAGGTTCAATTCCATATAATTCTTTTTATTCTTTTTTGTAGGACTGCAGGTGTATCCCAGTGGTAGAACACCAAGGTTAATCTCACTATTACCACCAAAAAAACAAAACAAAACAAAAGCCCTACTCTATTAATTTATAATGTAGAATAGGCAGGTAATTATCTCTGGGAAGTAGAATTATAGTTTTAAATGTCTTTTATTTAATTGTGTTTTTTAATTTTTCCCACAGTGAGCATATGTTATTTACATAAAACAAAAATGTTAGCTGAGCATGGTGTTGTACACTTGTGAATCCTAGCACTTGGGAAGCTTGAGACCAACCTGGGTATAGCTGAGCTATACCTGAGCTACAGTATAGCTCAAGGCCAGCCTGACCCACATGACCCTGTCAAAAAAAAAAAAAGAAAAAGAAAAAGAAAAAAGCCAGAACCCAGTATTGGGAGTATTGTGTAGAAAAAGCAATTAAGGAAGGAATAAGACTTTTTCTGTATATTTATATGATGTGAAACAAACCATGCTGTTGCATGTTTGTAATCCTGGCCTTATAGGAGGCTGAGGCAGGAGGATTTGAGCTCAGCCTGGGCAATTTAGTGAGACTTATCTTAAAATGAAAAAGAGTTGGGGTGTAGCACAACATGAGCTGGCTTCAATCCCTGTTGCTTAAAAGCAAAAAATAAAAGTATAAAACATGATAATCTCCCTAGTTTGAAAATGAAGCATATAAATAAGGGATGACTTTAAAGAAAAAAAAAAAAAACTTTTTCCATCAGTGCAATACAAACCTAAGCCCCTTTATGTAATTTGCTGTTGTGGTTATAAATATTTTATTTTATTTTTTTAGATATGAAAATTTTGAAGATCCTTTGGGAACAATTGATAAGTTTCATTATGGTACTCACTATTCAAATTCTGCAGGGGTCATGCATTATCTTATCCGTGTAGAGCCATTCACCACCCTTCACATCCAGCTCCAGAGTGGAAGGTATGTTTAGGGGAAATAAGCTATTTTCTTACAGTGTGTGTTAATGTTGAAAATGGTGTGGCTTAACATCCTGTGCTATATAACAGATCCATGTTGCCATCATCATCTCAACCCCCTCGTTGTCCTTCTCCTCTGTGTCCTCTCTTGCTCATCTTCCCTCCTTCCTTCTTCTTTCTCGCTCCCTTTCCTTCTGTCTCCCTCCTTCTCTTTTCCTCCTACCTTCCTTTCTATTTCTTTCTCCCTCCTTCTCTCTCCTTTCATTCCTCCTTTAGATTTTGATTGATAAAAGCAGCCAAACTAATCTGAGACTTAATCACCAAACTCACTCAAACAAATGACTTTTTAAGAAGTTTTTTTAACCATTATTCCAGTGTACCTTTGGGGATTACTGTTTGAATACCTGTTGTTTTGAGGGGTGCTAGAGAGATAGCGCAGCAGCTGAAGCACCTGCCTGGCAAACACAAGGTCCTGAGGTTCGGTGCTGGGGTACCAAAAAAAAAAAAAAAAGGATGGGCACACCATATTTTTTTGAGGAATTCACCGGAATTCTATCTGCTTTAGAACTAAATCTAAACCATCTGTCGAGAGCCAAATATCAGCAATGCCTGTCCTAAGAAATTTATCAGAATGGAAACCAAGGGGCTGGTGGGTTAGCTCAGTTGTCTAAAGCACCTTCTTGAGCAAAATCAGTGAGGGGTAAGGGACTGCTGTTCAATCCCCAGCACCAAACATGCTCTTAAGGCAGCCTGAGCCAGTCAGAGAGAGAGAAAAAAAAGAATCCTTCTCAAGATGGAAGCCAGGTTGCGGTGCACATCTGTAATCCCAGCAGTAGCGAGACTGAGGCAGGAGGATCATTGCCAAGTTCACAACCAGCCTGGGCTACAAAGTGGACTCAAGGCCAGTCTGAACTGCATAATGAGACCTGTCCCAAAAAGACAAAGAAAGAAAGAGAGAAAGAGAAAAAGAGAGAAAGAGAAAGAGAAAGAGAAAGAGAAAGAGAAAGAGAAAGAGAAAGAGAAAGAGAAAGGAAGGAAGGAGCGAGCAATAAGGAACTCTTGAAGCAGCTGCCTAAATAGGTCTGTGATGGCTCTATGTTGATACATTAAATGAATATCTTAACTTGCATTTCACATTTTCATTTTAAATCTCTGAATCCAAACCTTCAGGTAGCCTCCTACTGATACATGTTTTGTCTGTGTTGCCTTATTTTTAAACATTACCACTTCGCCTTCCCCTATCTAGTCAAGAGCTATGTAAGCAATTGCCTGTTATTTTCTCTTTCTGTGTATCTTCTATCTCACACAGTTAGCTTGTGGCCTCTATCTTTTTTTTTTTTATTTTTAACCCCAAGACAAGGATTCACTGTATAATTTAGGCTGGCTTTGAACTCACTGTGGAGCCCAGGGTGGCCTTGAACTCACAGTGATTGTTCCACCTCAGCCTCTCCCCCTAGTGCTGAGATTACAGGAGTACATCAGCATGCCTGGCCTTCTACCCTTATTTTAAACATAGTGAGCTTTAGCTTTCAAGAGACTCTGTCCCCAAAATTACTAAATATCAGTACAGTGTTACATTTATCATGGGTACTTTTTTCCCCTATAAGATGCAATAAAGTATAACTAAGTCTTTTCCATTTTTCATGATTTTTATGATTAAATGACTCCATAGAACTTCAATTCTGTTTGTACTTTAAAGGACATTATCAGGAAAATGAGCACAATAAAAAAAACTGATAAGGGACCTTTGCAACTAAATAATAAACAGAATCCTTAATTTAAGAATGGACAAAGGATGTTAATAGACATTTCTCTACAGAAAATATATAAATGCCCAATAATTACATGCAAAGATGCATCATTAGCATTGGGAAAATTAAAATCAAAACCACTAAAGGTATGGGGTACACCTGTAATTCCAGCACTCAGGCTGAGGTAGAAAGATGTCCACAAGTTTGAGGCCAGCCTGGGATACATATTAGTTCAAAGCTAGCCTGAACCACATAGCATGACCCTGTCTTAAACAAAATAAGCAAACAGAAAAACCACCAAAAATACTAGAGGGCTGGGGATTAAGCTCTGAGATATAGCACTTGCCTCACATATGCAAGCCCCTGAGTGCAATCCTCAGCACTACCAAAAAGAGAGAGAGAGAACATTTAAAACCCAGTAAGATGACTATAATCAAAAAAGTAAGTAAGGACTGTTATTGATGAGCATGTTGAGAAATTGGAACCTGTGGTGGGAATATAAAATAGCACAATCTTTTATGGAAAAGATTCCAGAAGTTCTTGAGAAGATTAAATGTAGAATCACCCTATGACCAAAGCTTGCACATAAGTGTTTCTAGCAACATTGTTTATAATAGCCTAAAAGTAAAAACAACCTACATGTCCATCTGCCAGTACATGAATAAATAGCTGTACAGTAGTCCCTCACTGTTTCACAGTTTGACTTTCGTACACTCACTGTTTGATGAGTTTTCAAAAAATATTAAATTATTTATCACATTTTTTGCTATATTATGGGATTGTGCTATACTGTACAGTAAGTTTATGAGTTTAGGAAATGGTTAAGAACATCAGAAATGTTTTTAAAAGTGTGGGAAAGGTTTGTAAGAGTCTATAAAGCCATAGATAGATAGATAGATAGATAGAGAGAGAGAGAGACAGACAGACAGACAGACAGACAGACAGACAGACAGACAGATAGATAGATAGATAGATGGGGTGTTTGGAATGTAACCTCCACGATAAGCGAGGAACTGCTGTATACAGACATATATGGAATAGGTTCCTGATGAGCCGTGAGTAAATGAAAGTTCATGCTTTAATGTGAATGAACCCTGAAAATATTTTCCTGAGTGACATAAAGCTACACAAAAAAGGCTACATATTACATAATTTTTGTGAACTGTCCAAACACACAAAACTGTGAAGACAGAAAACTGATTAGTAGTTGCCAGCAGCTAGGATAAAGTGAGACTGGGAAGCACCTCTCATAGATACAGTGTTTTTCTTGGATCAGTGAGAATATTTTCATATTATTTGAGGTGATAATTACACAACTGGGAATATACTAAAGCCATCAATTGTCCACTTGAATGAACAAACTATGCAGTATGTTAGTTTTGTCTCAGTTAACTCAGTGCCCATGCTTGAATACAGATGCCACAACCTGTGGCCTAATCTCTGTCAGTGATTAGATTTAGTTCTGCTGAGGTGAGCTGTCCCTCAACAAAATTAGTAGGCATTAAAGAAGAGTCAAATTTATCATGAATGTCATTTATTTTCTTCTTTTATGGGTTTGCCTTGTTAGACTAAAAACCATTACTTAAATAAATATGGGAGGGCTGGTGAGATGGCTCAGTGGTCTAAAACACCTACGTAGAATAAGCTAAACTAAGCAAAGCACAGGGACCGCGGTTCAATCCCCCAGCACCACATGCCAGCCAGCCCCGCCCCCTGGTGGGCTGAGCTGGCCAAACACACATTCACACAAATAAAATAAAAATAAATATATTTTTTTAAAAAATTAAAAAAAAATAAATATGGGAAATAGAAGGATTTTATCCTTTTTATAATTAAAGAAAGAATGGTATATTTATAGCATTTCCACTTGAGCTTCTTCCAACTACCTTAGGCTTTAAGTACCTATGGTGAAACATAAAATTAATTAACTGGAAGTTAAGTAAAATTAAGCTAATAGTATATGCAAGTGAAATATAAAAGGCTTAGTTACAGGGATTTTTTTTAGTATAAAAATTTGTAAAGATAATCATGTATCAAGGGCTAAATCAGCATTCCTGTATATCCATTTATCAAATATGTTAACACCATAATGTTTAGTTACATTCAAATGCTGACTTTCAAATGCCCAAAAAAAACTCACTTTTTGTAATTTGATTCAGCAAATTTATACTTTTTTAAAAAGGTCAAGATTATATTCAGTTTACTTGAAAGTTTTCCTCTGATTTGATTTGGCTTTTAACTATTTTGGGTAAGGTGATAACTATTAAGAAAACCATGGCTCTAATCATTTGGAAACCTAAAGGAGGTTAGAAGTTTTGCTTCATGGCTTGTTGCTCTCATTCAGTGTCTTGTTTTCTTTTAATTTCCACATGCAGATTTGACTGTGCAGATCGACAGTTCCATTCCATCCCTGCTACCTGGCAAGCTCTCATGGATAATCCCTATGATGTGAAGGAACTTATTCCTGAATTCTTCTATTTCCCAGAGTTTTTGGAAAATCAAAATCGTAAGAATTAGGGGAATAAAACTTTATCTCAGCAGGTCCCGATAGAAGGGCTTGAAAAAAGTCTTTCAGGATATAATATCTTATAATTTATTTAAGGTTCATTTTGTATATGGATTACTCAGTGATAGTTCACAAGTTTTATTTTTTAGGGAAGTACTGCAGAAAAACAAGATAAGTGAGGCAGAAAATTTGTCAAAGTACAGTGTTTAATAATGAAGCAGAAAATGTTCATATACTGTTATTGAAAGCCTTTAAGTTAGATAAAGATTTAGAACAGGGGTCTATAGAACAAATTCATGGAAAAAGCCATATTTGTATATATAAATTTCACTGGAACACAGCCTACCAATTTACTTATGTACCACTTATTTTGTGGGTTTTTTTTTTTTTTTTTTTTGTGGAACTGGGGATTGAACTCAGGCCCTTGCGCTTGCCAGGGAAGCACTTATTCCACTGAGCCATCTCCCCGGCCCCTGTACCACCTATTTTGGGTGCTTTTGCAGTTTAATTGAAACTTGACTAGTTGCAACAGAGACCATATTGCTTTTATACCAGTGGGTGGTGAACTTATTGCATACATGCTTCAATGGACTGATTGTATCATCGAAAGCTCTACAAGGTTCACCATCACTGTATTATGGAAACATTTTTTAGATTCCTGATTTATAGTTTAGGAGAAAAGGCAATTAAAAACAATGGCTACATTTATTATAGCATTTGAAAACTCATATTTATGTTTCTGAATCAGAGAAGTATGGAATTAAAGTTTTTAAAAATATCCAAATATTTCTTCTGTCAGGTAGTTCTGTGTTTTTCTATGTTTTGTTATGTTATGTTTCTTGTTTTATGAGACAGTGTCACTATGTAGTCCAGGCTGGCCTTGACTAGATAGCTCAAGCTGACCTCAGACTCACAGAAGTCCTCCTGTTTCAGCTTCCTCAGTGCTGGGATTATAGGCACATACCACCATACTTGACTTCTACATTTATTTTTGACCACCTAACAGTTATCCCACACATCACACAGACAGCACATTTATTTACATACTGTTTGGGCTGGAGACATAGCTCAGAGGCATAAGCACCTACCTGGCAAGCACAAGGTCCCAAGTTCGATCCCTGGCCCAAACTGCATAGTGAGACCCTGTTTCAAAAAAAAACTTCTATGTACTGACTGTGTGGAACACCACTCAGGCAGGTATCATTTCAACAAGTTAATTCTTTTTTTTTTTTTTTTTTTCAGAACTGGGGATTGAACTCAGATCCTTGCCAGGGAAGCACAAGTGCTTATTCTACTGAGCTATTGCCCCAGCCCCTGTCAATTATTATATTGAATAAATTTGATAAAATTGTCATTTTTATATTTCCAATTCT